ATGTTAGACTAAGACCTGTCCAGGTGTCTCTGTTAGACTAAGACCTGTCCAGGTGTCCCCTGTCTCTCACACAGGGACTACTGGACCTGGACACCAGGTCTCTCTGATCCGGAATGGGGAAACAAAAAAAAAGGAAATGAAGGATTTTATTTTGAAAGAACCCAGTTTTTATAGGTTTATGAGGATTAAATCTAAACTTTATGATTTTATAACAGAACCTGAAACAGAACTTGATGCAGAACCTGGACCGTCCTCGTTGTTTCGGCTGTTTGTCCCTGTAGATTTTTATCAGCTGAAGTTAAGCTAACGCTCTGTGGTTTAGTTTTTAAATTATTAACGTCAAACAGACTYCAGGTTCAGGTGGTCCTGGTCCTGGTCCTRGTTCAGAGTCCAGGTCGTTCATCTGAAACTAAACTTTAAACAGTTTAGGAACAGTTCAGTTTGATGATCAGGAGGTGTAAATCCTTCTGAGGATCAGCTGTGGGGTGGGGGTGTGGGTGGGGTCTGCAGGGACTTTGGGGGGTTTCGCCCTCATCTCCATAACAATCAGCACTTGTCGTCCCATCTGTCCGACACAGAGACCCTTAATAAGCTCCCACTGYGCTGTTAGCTGCAGCGGCCGGGGTCCTGGCAGATGTTGAGGCTTTAAAKCAGAGAGGGAGGGGGTCATTGTTGGCTTTTTGACCCCCTCACATGAAACAGATGGGCCMCTCTTTAACACAAAGACTGTAACCGACACACAAACTAATAAACTCACTGTGCTGTCACCGACCAGGGTCTGAAAACAACAAATGATCTGACTTCAGTTCAAAGCTGGTTGCTATGAAACCAGGTCTCTGTCTCAGACTTTATATCATGACTCCTACAGGACAACAGGTCACAATCATTTATTCAGCCATGTTTCTGTTTTAGGACTAAGTATCAGGGTCAGATTAAACTTTAGTACGCCTTCATGAAGAACCATTTCCTGGGTTAAAAACAGCTATGTTGAGCGTTAGCTTATGACTGAGAGAAGCAGGCTGTTTGGCTGAGCTGCTCCTGATAACTCTAGCACAGCTCTTTAACACTTTGTTCGACCAGCAGGCAAAAACTATGTGGTTTCTGCCTTTAAACGATTCCAGAAGCTAMCGGGGGCTTTTATTTTGAAAACCAGGGTGTCAGAYGACTTCCTTTACCTTTAGTTGACACCCTTACAAAAAATTAAAAAATGTTGAAAAGCTTTAAGGGAATTTCAGAGGCGACTGTTAATGGGGTTTGTTCTGCTAACATTATGACCAAATCAGTTTGTGGTGTTCCTCAAGGATGTGTTCTCAGTACCTTGTTTTTATTCTAAAGAAAATAAGAAATGATGCCTGCAGGTATCATTAAAGTGTTTAATCAAGAAACAGTTCTCTTAAGATGGATCCGCAGATCTGAGAAAGGGGTCTCTGCAGTACATGTTGTCTTGTGGGTGGAGACTGCACCACTCATAGAGTAGCTTGGTCTAGTCGGGCAGGAAGCAACATTTTTTTAAGATTAGTTTTAGTCATAACTTGAGAAAGGAAGGTGCTAGCTGCATGAAATTTGAACGCTGTGCATATGGAGGGATGGATAACAATTTGGCTCAGTCAAAACATCCCTAACCAAACTGTAAAAAGATAGCCAAAAATCAAAACTAATATGAATATTAGTAATAATTTGAGACAGGAAGAAGCTTGCCGCATGAAATTTTAAGTTAAATTATGTTTACATTTTTACAACATTTTTTGAGTCATTGTTCTGTATTGTTCTGACCACGAACTCTGCAGGGATTATAGGTCCTCTCTGGTTTTGGAACACCTTTGGGTTCTCCAGGAGGCCCTGGAGAGGGAGGTCTGGGTTGTGTTATAGGATGGAGATGTTATGATCTGCTGGTGCTTGAAGTTCACCTAATTTTAGCTCAGTATCTGTAAAGCTGACAGTTTTAGCTGTTTATGTTAGCTGTGGCAGCCATCTTGAATGAGGCTGACTCTAAAGACAATTTCCCGAATGTTTCTTTAAAAAGTTATGGGTCAGTTTGCGTCAGTGGGTACGGCAGTCCTCTGGTTGGTCCTCTGACTGGTCTTCTGGTTGATCCTCTGACTGGTCCTCTGGTTGGTCCTCTGACTGGTCCTCTGATTGATCCTCTGACTGGTCCTCTGGTTGATCCTCTGACTGGTCCTCTGGTTGGTCCTCTGGTTGGTCCTCTGACTGGTCCTCTGGTTGGTCCTCTGGTTGGTCCTCTGACTGGTCCTCTGGTTGATCCTCTGATTGGTCCTCTGGTTGATCCTCTGACTGGTCCTCTGGTTGGTCCTCTAACTGGTCCTCTGGTTGATCCTCTGACTGGTCCTCTGACTGGTCCTCTGGTTGATCCTCTGACTGGTCCTCTGGTTGGTCCTCTGACTGGTCCTCTGGTTGGTCCTCTGACTGCTCCTCTGGTTGATCCTCTGATTGACCCACTGACTGGTCCTCTGGTTGATCCTCTGGTTGGTCCTCTGACTGGTCCTCTGGTTGATCCTCTGATTGACCCACTGACTGGTCCTCTGGTTGGTCCTCTGGTTGGTCCTCTGACTGGTCCTCTGGTTGGTCCTCTGACTAGTCCTCTGGTTGGTCCTCTGGTTGATCCTCTGGTTGATCCACTGACTGGTCCTCTGGTTGGTCCTCTGATTGACCCACTGACTGGTCCTCTGGTTGGTCCTCTGGTTGGTCCTCTGATTGACCCACTGACTGGTCCTCTGACTGGTCCTCTGGTTGGTCCTCTGATTGACCCACTGACTGGTCCTCTGGTTGGTCCTCTGGTTGGTCCTCTGGTTGGTCCTCTGTCCACAGATGTCCGTTCTGATTTGCAGCGAGAATTGAAAAGGTGGAGGATAAAATGTGTAGAACCTGTAAAACTCTGCAGGACCTSCAGAAGTTAAATCTTGAAGCTGTGGACCTTTTAATCTCAATCTGTGCTTCATGAGATATTTYGCTAACAGGCAGAGGCTTTTACATGATCGCCTGCAGGCAGTAAAACATTTCCTTTCCCAGCAGCAGTGGTGTTTCACCGTGGGACCGTTTGTTTGAGTTTTATGTTACAGAAAGCATTAAATATTAAACTGTGTATTTTATTCTGAAATCTATCCTCAGGGCAAACTGGAATATTTCTGCTCTACAAGTTAGAAAATCTAAACATTTGTTTCCACACGTCTGAAAAGGATCAGAGTCCCCGCTGGTCAAATAATGTCTTTGTGTTTTAAAGGAAACAGATTTCTGTTTCCTTTAAAGTTATTTTATAAAAACCAGTTTGAGTCAGAAGAGTGTGACGGTTTGTTTTTGTTTCCATCTTAATCCGACAGCAGACTGGTTCAGGTGAACTCAGGTAGTTTCCTGTCTGTTCACCTTCTTCCTGCTGAGATCTGATTTCACTCGTTCATCTACGGCTGTCAGATGGAGAGAAAAATGAGTTTTCAAATAAAATGCACGATGTTTTACTCACTGAAAGATGGTGAAACGTAAAGAGAAGCTGTTTGTATCTGGATGTTTTGTTCTAATGTTTAAAAAAGAAACGTCACGTCTGAGGCTGGATGATGACTTGAKCTTCATCAGTGAGCGAAAATTTCAGATCCTGCTGCTGTTTAGAGGTTTTAGATGAGAAAAACTAAGAARATGTTTTGAATAAACTRAAAATATAGCTTTGCTAATGCTAAACATCCAAGCAAGTTAATTAGCGGAAGCTAGCTAACAGCTAATCGCTAACCGCTAACCGCTAAGTCTGTGTCACCAGACTGCTGGGACTGACACAAACCTGCTGAAGTTAGCTTGTTAGTTAG